CCCCAAAACCCCAAAACCCCAAAACCCCAAAACCCCATAAAAGTGGCGAACTGTTGAAATCAAGTAATCCTAATATTTTAAAGGATATTAGAAATCTGTGCAAGGTTGCTTTCTCCTTTATAATTTCAGATTCTCCTTTTCTCACTCCAAATTATGTTTTTACTTAGCTAAAATTTCTTCAAGTGGAACTCCCTTTCCAACCTCTTTCTGGGGTTGTGGTTTAGCATATTTTATTGAGAATCAGTTCTTGGTGCGTTCTGATTGCGTGGCATCACATGAATAGTGCACAACATGCTCAATTTTTCAGGAATATGACAAGACCATATCCTCTTGTTTTATCGCTTCAAAGCACAGACTGCAGGTATCTTTGAAGTGGCTTGCCATGAATTTCCTAACATTAGACAACTCTTCAGCTAGGTACTTTGTATCACTCAAAGTATCATTTTCTTCAAGCTTTTTATCTTGTAAATTTTCTTTAATATGAAAAAAGAAACCAAAAATCCAGGTACCTCCTCAAAACAAAAGAATACATGCTTCAATGACAAGGATGAGGTGTCATATCCAAGGGAATGAATTTGTATCGAGTCATCGGTTCCAAGAGGAGACAAATCTCTTTATGATAATACAGTGCCAGCCTAAGATATATTAGACATAAACTTACTTGATAAGCAAAGATGAAACATCCAGGAAAGTTTATTGATTGTTTCAATCTCGAAAGATTTGCTCTTTATTCACCTGTTCTTGAACAAATAATGACCAATAGTCCCTATTTTGACATATAGAGACATCTTTAGTAACTTTAGCGTTTGAAGCCCGCATTTCACAGAGGTAAAGAAGCTTCAGCAGACCAACAGGGCACATAAGATTAAAGAATGGTAGGCAATACAATATGTGTTATTTAGAATAAGCTGTGCCTCCTTTTGGATTTGTTTAGTATCTTGTGATGCTCCATCTTGAGTTTCGCTTGGAACTACTCGGTGTGTCTGTTCTTCCATTAAAGTTTCTTAATTTAAGTCCCTTTAAATCAATATCTGAACAGCAGCTGGGGTTTTGGGGTTTTGGGGTTTTGGGGTTTTGGGGTTTTGGGGTTTTGGGG